GGACCAAGAATTTGAGCCACCTTAAGCTGTTTTCCCAGGTGCATCAGCAAGCAGGGAGCTGAACTGGAAGTAGAGCAAATGGGACTTGGACTGGCACCCATACTGGATGCTGGTGTTGCAGGAGGCAGCTTGACTTGCTGTGCCATAAGGTCCCAAATTTATCTTGTAATTCCATTTTAACATGAACTTTTTAAAAAGTACCCTCATGGAAGACAATCCTGGAGAAACAGAAGTAGGGTCAGACTGTAAGAACCTTGCTGGTGAGAAGCTTAGTTTTTCTTCCCCAAAGAGTAACAAATGGGAACTCATGACAAAGTTATCTAAAGTGAAAGATGTTTTCTCCTGATCCGCACCTATTGCAACGTTGCCACCATGGAATAGCATGCAGCCAGAATGTCAGTGTGGAAGTTCTTCGTGTGCTACGATGGAAATATATCCAGGATATATCACTGATTAAAAAAATCAAGGAGAAAAAAAGTATACACACTATACCTACCACCTTTCATGCGAATAGTGAAGCCTCAGATAACGATAATGTGTCAAGTCCTTTTGAAGGTTATTTAAATTGAGTAATCCAGTTACATGAGAAAAAGAGAACCATGTGAATATGACTTATGTATCTAAAAATATTACTTTATCTGAAATGTAGAGAATGGCTGGGGAACAAAAATATGTAAGAGAACAGTGAGGGTGCTATTTTGATAGTCTGCACACAGGATGATGACTTGAGCCTGAAACACAGCTATGGGCAAAAATGGAGAATTAGAGAGGAATTCAGGATCCAAACACAGTAAGATTTGGTGAGGAAGTGAATGTGCAAGGACGGTCTGGGAGATTAAGGGGGAGAGACACACAGGTTTCTAAATTCAACAACATGACAGAATATTGGGTAACCCACTGATGGACTGCAGAGGACCAGGTTTGGGAGTGACAGAGGCCGTGTTTGAGAGGTCAGGAGTGCAGTTTTACACACGGTAAATGTGAAATACCTTTGAGACAGTGGACAGAATGGGAGAGGATTCCAAGCAGGGAGCTGGGTATACTATCGGGGGTAGTACAGGTAAAGAAGTGTGCCCAACACCAAGCCCTAAGAAAGGCCAACATTTAAAGGCTCGGTGAGAGGACAAGCAAGAATGGCAAAGAGTGTGAGTGGCCTCTGGATGGAGAAATCTGGTCTTCCAGAAGAACACTGTTCTAAGTAGGTACTTGGGATGGTAATTAGATGTTTGAGCTCTGTGAGATCAAGGCTTTAATAAAAAAAAAAAGGAGAAACAAAACAAAAACCAAGAGGCAGATTTTAAACTCAACAGACAGATTCCAAGGTGAAGCAAGCTCCCATCTAATGGTTCATACCACAAATGCCTGCAAGATTCTAGGCTGGGCCAGGAAGTTGGGAGGAGGAGTGGAGGCGGGACTCAAACAAGGCACTCTGTTGTGGGATACCGACTCACGTTATGCCCTGCTCACCCATCCTTGGGAGAAGGGAAGCAGGATTCTTACTCAGCAGGTTAAGAGCAATTGTCAAGCATCCTCACACACCTCATCTCATTTTTCTCCTCATAATGTCCTCCAGAGGCAAGTACAGTCCACAATCCCTGTACAGACTCAGGATGGTTTTGACTGGTCCATAGCACACTGCTGATATCCAGCATTCTGGTTCTCTTCCAGTGAATGAACATATCTCAGAACCCTGGGGCCAAAGTTTTGAGCCCTGAAGCCATCAAAGCAGGAGGAGTCAACACTAAAACAAAGAGAAATTTAAGAGAGGGTACTGGTACTTAAGGGCATTTGTCAGCAGGTTTCTCTTTTAAAGGAGGCATTAAGGATACACAATCCTGTGAAGAGTTAATTACTAGGTCTGCATCGGTTATTCCTCAGGGATCCCAAGCCCCTAATTTGGTCATCCCTTTGATTCTAGGGGAAGACATACGCGACACACCCCTGGCACAAGACAGCTTCTCCTGTGGCCTGAAATGGCAAAAGGAGTCTACATTCAGATATCCCACCCAAAACTTCAGAATGTACTCAACTTTTAATTTTTCATGCTTAAGAGCAGAAAGTGACAGAAGAACCCAGTAATCACTCTGGACTTGAATTCCATGGTACATTTTTCTTTTAAAATCTGACAGGTTTGAAAATTTGAAATTGCTTTAAGGGTCCATTTAATTTACTTACATACACATCTTGGCTCTGGCTCAAGTGGAGAAATACCTAACACCAAGTGGGTAAATACATGAATTAGGTTTTTTCAGGTTCTTATGGAAACTGTCTTTGGCTTTTATTTTTTGGTAAGCTAGTACTACTTCTTTAGAGTACGGGGAGGGCTCTGGATAAGAAAGTGGCCCCATGGACAACATTCACTGCAACTTATCTCTAAGGTCTACAAGAGCTGGAAGGACGTGAAGGATTCCTAAATCCCGGATTAGAATTCACAAGATTTCAGTTCTAGGCACAGTTTGGAAAACCTGTGCATCCTCTGACAATTCATTTATGCTCTTAGGCCTCCATTTCCTCAATTCTAAAATCTATAATGCAAGAATAAAAAGGGAAGTGGGCAATAAAAATTAGGAATCTACTCATGAAACATAGAAAACGTCCTAACTTAGTTGTAAGAATGCAAGGAAAGATAACTAGTGGAGAAATAAAACATAAATTTAACTACATACAACTCAACATTTTAGGAACAAGACGTGTTTACTATCCATTATACACCAGAAAATTAAATGTCTACAACAATATTCTCCCCCAAAGTGTAAACGTATACATAAAACTCTTGATGCTAAGGTTTAACTATTTAAATTTTCAAATGTTTATTACATCCATTAGTGTTTCCTAAGCTGTACATAAAATGTAAGATCTGCAACACTCATTTATGCTTGTTAACAGCTATCCATAGTCAAAACACCTCGCAGCATTTACCTTGGAAAGGAAATGCAAAGGGAAATGTAATTCATATGTTTATGTATTTGCTATTAAATATCTTCTGAGTTGGGCAGAAACCAGAATGTGCATGTACATAAATTCAATGGTCCATTAAAATGTTTTAAAACCTATCACGTTTTTCACTCTTATTTGTATTTATAATTACAAATGCTGTAATATTTATGACTGTATAATTAATCTTTGTGGGCATTTTATTACTAAAGCTCATTCTTCAAAGTTTTAAGCCTTCAGGGAAAGTGAAATTATCTGCTAGAAAAAAAGAGAGTGCAACTGTCTCTAATGCCCAGACTGGCATGTCTGAGTTTGAATTAGCCTCTCCAGCACAGGAGGGATAAGAGGAGGGTTCACAGATGTAAAGAACCACTACCTAAGCCTTCCTCCGACTAGTGCTAGATTTGGTTCTGAACTTAGCTTTGATTTATTCCAACAGCAAAACTCCCTTATCAGGCATTATCAAGATTCCTGGGGCACACTGTGAAAAACAAGATGCCTGGGCACCATTCTAGACCTGTAGAATCAGAATCTCTGCTGGGGATAAAAAGGGAGGGAAGGGGGCAGAGCAGCATTCGAAATCTGGAGAGAATGTTAAGCATGTTGGCATATTCTGGATCTTAATAATGAAAAGTATTCCAGTTCCTGAGGCAAAGGAGAGAAACCTCTCCAGCATATTCAAGGAAGCATATTGAAGACATCCTGATGAGAGATGTGTCTCAAGCTATGGGTAGTCACTTGTAAGCTTTTCAAAGTAAGCTATGAAGACATATTCACAACTGGCTTATGCTATGTTTGGTATATCCAGTTTTAGGTTCTAATGAGGGACTTGATGCTTTCTCATATTTTGTTGGAAAGCAAATTCAAAACAGGAAAGAGTAAAAGGCATTAGTTACTGTGGGGAGCAATCCGGACTAGACTAAGTTACTCGAATTGGGACTTATTCTATGCATCTGCTCTCCCACAATATGGTGCTGGGAGAGAAGTAAACAGCTTCCGCACAGCTGCCTCCAGTTCAACCAATTAACTGTAGGACTTGCTCCTGATTGGAGAGCAGCGTACTCGGCGTGTGGGCAGCCGAGTTGGGATTGGCGGAAGAGGACTATAAAGGAGGAGAGAGACGGCATGCACCAGGAACATCTATGGGGAACATCTAGCTGAAGGAACACCTGTGCAGCCCCCGAGAAAAGCCGGCCGGCGGTGTGCCGCTCCCCTGCGGAAGTGGGGAATGTGGCCAGGGGGAACTGCCCTTCCACGGAGGTGGAAGGGATAGTAGCCAACCCGGGAAGAACCAGCAGCAAACCCGGGGAGGGCCGAGCAGACGAAAGAACAGCGCAGGGTCCTGTGTCGTTCCTCCACGAAGAGGGGGAGCGACATAATGGTGCCGTGACTCGGATAGGAAACCTGACTCGGATATGAAGCCTAGGCAGGACTTAGTGTCGTTCCTCCACGAAGAGGGGGAGCGACATAATGGTGCCGTGACTCGGATAGGAAACCTAGGACGGAGAGGAAACCTAGGAGGGAAGAAACGGGAAGAAATGGGAAAATACCAGAGAGAGAGACTAGCAAACAGCCTAGGGAAAAGCCGGACGAAAAAGGTGCCGGAAGAAGCTATTGAAAGCCTAGGCATAGACTCGGATACGGACTACAGGGGGAAGCTGGGAGAAATCTCTAAGGGCGAAAGCGAAAGTGAAAGCTAGAACAAACAAGACTCGGATGCAGACTGTGGGGAGAGGCCAGGAGAAATGAGGGAGGAGTATTGTTGGAAGAAAACTTAGGGAAACATACCGGGTAGAGAAAAATGTTAGGGAAATTGAAGCCGCGGGGGGCAGGCCGAGGCGGATACGAAAGCCACTTTGGGATTCTCAAGTTAGCCCGGGAATAGGGGGCGAAAAGTTGAAACCAGAAGCTGAGACGTAAGCCAGATTGGGATCCGTCTGATTAGCCCGGGGAGCAAAGGACGGGAAGCCAGATCGTGGGGCGGAGACGTACGCTGGGTTGAATTCGCCAAGCTAGCCCGGGGAACTTAGATTGAATCCTAGTGGCGGAGACGCAAGCTACGGAAGCCGCCGCGTGTAGAGAGAGCACGGGGCGTGAATAGATAGGGAACGCTGGCGTAGGCCATGGTTCAGACGCGAAAGGGTTAAGCGTGGAGACCGCGGAGCGCGCGAAGCCGAGCCGCGCAAAGCCGGGAAGCTGCGCAGATGAGAGAGGCGCGCGGGCTGAAGCGGCGCAGAGCCGGGAACCCGCCGGCGGGGCGAGGTGCCGGGAAGCTGCGGGGATAAGAGAAACAGAAGTTTGGAAGTGAAGTAAAAGAGAAATGGGAATGCTGGAAGATAGAAGTGAAATGGGAGAGGTAGGAATGCCCGGAGATAGAGAAATAGAGAAAAATAAGGCCTCCCCTCAACATGCCAATTAGAAGGCTTGGATTCGGTCTGCCCGATTAGTGAGGCGATGAGCACCTGGGCGGCTAGCCGCAGGTCACCGAAGACAGGCACGAATTAACATCAGTAAAGCTTCCCCACAATGCAACAATTAGGAAGCTTGGATTCGGTCTGCCTGATTTAAGGCGGTAAGCGCCAGCAAAGCTCGACCAGAGTATGAGCTGCAGGTCACCGAAGATAGGCACGAACCAACACTAATAAGTCTCCCCCACAATAAGGCAATGAGAAGGCTTGGATTCGGTTTGCCTGATAGGTCTTGTAAGTCCCCTGCAGGCAGAGCAGAGCATGCGCTGCAGGGCACCGAACACAGGCACGCATCAGCGCCTAAAAACCTCCTCACAACATGGCGAAGAGAGGACCCGGATTCGGTTTGCCTGATAGGACTTGTAAGAGCCTGTGGCAACTCTAGCAAGTAGAGCAGAGTGTGTACCGCGGGACACCGAAGACAGGCGTGTATCAACGCTAAAAAATAAAAAGAAAGGGGGATCTGTGGGGAGCAATCCGGACTAGACTAAGTTACTCGAATTGGGACTTATTCTATGCATCTGCTCTCCCACAATATGGCGCTGGGAGAGAAGTAAACAGCTTCCGCACAGCTGCCTCCAGTTCAACCAATTAACTGTAGGACTTGCTCCTGATTGGAGAGCAGCGTACTCGGCGTGTGGGCAGCCGAGTTGGGATTGGCGGAAGAGGACTATAAAGGAGGAGAGAGACGGCATGCACCAGGAACATCTATGGGGAACATCTAGCTGAAGGAACACCTGTGCAGCCCCCGAGAAAAGCCGGCCGGCGGTGTGCCGCTCCCCTGCGGAAGTGGGGAATGTGGCCAGGGGGAACTGCCCTTCCACGGAGGTGGAAGGGATAGTAGCCAACCCGGGAAGAACCAGCAGCAAACCCGGGGAGGGCCGAGCAGACGAAAGAACAGCGCAGGGTCCTGTGTCGTTCCTCCACGAAGAGGGGGAGCGACAGTTACCTTTATTTTAACTGTGATCTAATCACTTTGGTAATATGGTTGTCCTAACAATGCTTTTGTAATCATTTACATTTACATAGCATACATTGATATGCTATGTAAATTCTTAAAGGGGCAAACACAGACCGTGCAGGCAGAATGCAGGCAGCAGATGTCTACACTGCAGAGATAATTAATTCAGCCTCTTTGGGGGGGACCTATAGAAGAATACCAGCTCCTACAGTTTAGCACCTGCTGTTAAAGCTAGAAAACATTAAGCCTGTGGCTCACAAAGGCGTAGGCACACCTGTCTTACAAGTTGAAGGCAAAATCCCAAACATCAGCCGTTGGCACTAAGAGGGGCAAGGCAAGATGGGACCCTAGTGATTTTGACTTAAAAGAAAAAAAGTCTTAAGAGCAGAGAAAACTAGAAGATCGCTAAAAAATAATGTGCAATGAGTAAACACACCCTTTAGAAAAGACTTAAATTTTATCTTTAATTGAATTCTCACTTCCAGGCAGTGCCTAATGCCTTCATTTCAATTTATAATTTTGTTATGGCTGAAACAGTTTCTTCATCACCTTCTATCCTCTGCAGGCAGCCCACACTGCTGCTGGGACAGAGTGCAGTGTCCTGTCCAGGAGCTGTCAGAGCGCACTCTGCTTTACTGTGGGGTCTACTGACAGAAGCAGCCCTAGAACACTGCAGGCTGCTCCGCCATCAACCACCGTCCTCTCAGCTAAACCCACAGCAGTAAGTAAGCAGTAGCACTGCCACCAGCATTTGCCTCAGGGAACTCACACACACCTGTCAGTTGATGGCCCCTCCTCTGTTACTCTCCTCACTTCCCACTTTAGTATCTCTTGCCACCATTTAATTTACTTTAGGAGTTCAACAGTACACTTGTTCATGGCTAGAAACAATCATGTATTTCATATGAATAAAAAGCAATAAAGTATCTGTATATGTGCCAGTGCTCACTTAAAAATACAGAGTGCATAACAAGTCACATCCCATTATTTATCTTATAAAAGTATTAGTGATTACTTGATATACAAATATAAAAATTAAAGAGAAAGTTCTCAGTCTGAAAGTTGTAAGTATAGTTTGCTCAAACTATTTTAAAAGACTTTAAAAAATTAATTCACATATACTTTCCTCAAATTTTTCTATGAACTTTTTGAAGACTCCTTATATGTACTATTGCCCTTGAAGATTTAGGTCAACTGCCACATCATAACACCGGTGAGGAGAGCAACTCATTTCCAGCTCTTGGATCCCCCTGACCTTATGAAACAGGCATTCTCTGTTGTCCCCATTTTACAAAGAAGACGACTGAGGCCTGCAGAGATTCAGTTGTTTGCACCCAGCAACAAGCTGGAAAGCAAATGCTGGTATTCTAACCCAGGCTGTCTACCTTTAAAGTTGAATTCTTAAACACTGTGGACAGACTTAGAGTGGGAAGTATGAGATACTCATTTGGGGGGGATACAGGAATAAAAACTCACCAAGACAGCAGAGATAAGACTCTAGGGTCGTTAAAGGGGGGAGGAGGGAGGAAACAACACAGCTGATAGTAACACTTTGCACAAATTATGAGAGGACTAAAAGCTATATGGAAAACAAGTATTTGGAGATGAGAATAGAGTGAAGAGTTTTGGTCTAAAAGTATTCTGGCGGTCTGTATCACCCCCAGATCACTCATGGGTTAAAGCTTTATGATTCCTACAAAGTATGAGATATAAATTCGAAGACTACTTCCTTTTTAAAGAATAAAATTGAAAAACTTTTTCAGAGGAAAAAAAAATCACCTGTGCATTACCACATAAATTCCATTCCATCGATGGTTTTAAAAACGTTACTTACATTGGGGTGAACATTTTGCCTAGTGGTTAGCTGGCTGTTCAGGACACCTGACTCACATGTAATCGAGCGCCCAGCTCCACGCCTAACTCCAGCTTCCAGCTAATGCGTATCCTGTAGGCAGTGGTGCTGGCTTAGGTAACTGGGTTCCCGCCAGCCACTGGCAATTTCCCAACCCAGTCAAGACTTCAAGACTTTTATTCTATGAGCATTTGGGAAGTGAACCAGTAGATGGGGAACTAACACACACACACACACACACACACGCACACACTTTCTCTCAAATAAAATATTAAAGTTAAAAAAATACTTACATACAGAAACACAAAGTTTTAGTTTTAACTTAAGGATAAAGTGATAAATTTTTGGAGCGAAACTAGAAAGTTATAAACTTCAAAATGACATTGTTCTGACATTTCTACTATTAAGAACCTATTATTCAAACATTTATGCACAGATTCATACATACACACACACACACACACACAGATGGTCACAACAGCACTGTACATAGAGAAAGTAGAGAACCTCCTCAAGGTCATTCAGGAGGTTAGTGGCCACAAAAATCTGTAACATGGAATACTACACAACATTTAAAACAATAAAAGGCCTATTTGTATTTACATAAGATATTCATGATATATTAAGTGAAAAAAGCAAACTGCAGGAAAAATTTTTTGAAATACATTTATCTTAAAATGATGTAAAAGGCTACTTTAAAAGTTTAAGGAAATGGAATTAAAAGTTTATTTTAGCGCAAAAAATTATTTTGAAATCCACACATTTTTTAATAATAGGCAGTTCCACAAACTTTTTGAAGTTTCTTGTGTACATGTTTGTGTCTGTCTGCAAACATGTATGCTTACAAAAGTATATTCACTAAGAAAAATGCTGGGGCCAGAATTGTGGCGAAGCGGGTTAAGCCAGCGTCTGCGACACGGGCACCCCTTACAGGCACTGACTGAAATCCCAGTGGCTCCACTTCCAATCCAGCTCCCTGCTAATGTGCCTGGGAATAAGTAGTGGAAGATGACCCACGTGCTTGGGCTCCTGCATGCATGAGGGAGACCCAGACGGAGCTCCTGGCTTTGGTCTGGATCAGACCAACCTACTGTGGCTGTTTGGAGAGTGAACCCGCTGATGGAAGATCTCTCTCTCTCTGGCTCTACCTTTCAAATAAATCTTTGAAAAAGAAATAAAGAGAACTGTCTACCAAAATATAAACCACACCATCATCTGGGAGTGCCTTGGGCAAATAAAGATGCTATTGGGAGTATGGAGCCTATGGGGACTTACCTTCCATCTTCACACAAGGTACTTTTAAAAGTATGTGGAGAAATTAAGTTTATTTTGGTACACAAAAAATTTTAAATCCATGCATACGAGGAGTCTTCAAAAATTAATGAAAAATGAATATTATGAAAAAATTATGGTTCTCAAAAATTTTTGCACAATAAACTTAACCTTTAATTGCATTTTCCACAAACTTTTTGAAGTACCTTGTGTACTCCCATACAATTTTTTCTAACATGAATTATTATTTTAAACTTTCTTTCTTCCCTATAGGACATATTTGCTAATTTTATTGACCACCAGCAGATCACACCTTTGTTTCACCAACTGTCAACAGCGAAATTCTCTACAATAGAAAGGACATGCTAGATAACAATCAGATTATCTCCCTAGGATTCTTGAAAAAAAAAACTGGCTGCTAATGCAAGCCCAATTACAATGAATACTACCATCCACAGGGAAATAAAAGAAACAGAGATGGGACATAAAGCCTCCACGCAGCAGCTCCAACTGGCACTCACTCGTGGATCTGGAACATGTATGTGTACATGTCCTTTAAGAATAAGCTCCAAGTTCCTACCAAGAACAAAACAGAATGACAAATAACAGTGTAACTTTTTGTTTAACAAGTGTGAGTGCTTATTATATTAAATAATGTGCTTAGGGAGGCTACCAAGACCCACAGGTCATAGTTTCAGCCCTGGTGGAGTTTAACAACCAAGTCAAAGTGAAGAGCTAAGCTGTAAAAAAGGGACTGCTGAATGGAAAAGATGACCGCTTCACTCATGTACAGTAAATAGAGCTGCTGGCTATACCCCACTAAACTAGGGTCTTTTTTTAAATTTTTTAAAATTTTTATTTATTTGACAGGTAGAGTTACAGACAGTGAGAGAGAGAGACAGAGGAAAGATCTTCCTTCCGTTGGTTCACCCCACAAGTGGCCGCCACGGCCAGCGCTGCGCTGATCCGAAGCCAGGAGCCAGGTGCTTCCTCCTGGCCTCCCACGCAGGTGCAGGTGCCCAAGCACTCAGGCCATCCTCCACTGCACTCCCCGGCCACAGCAGAGAGCTGGACTGGAAGAGAAGCAACCAGGACTAGAACCCGGCGCCCATATGGGATGCCGGCGCCACAGGCGGAGGATTAACCAAGTGAGCCATGGCACCGGCCCCGGGTCTTTTTGATTTTTACTTGTTGAACTTCTTATTTGGTGAAGTATTAAGCCTTTTTACTGTAATTTTAAAATGTTACCTCAAAAACTAAAAAAAGAAAGGAAGGGGAGGAAGGAAATATCATGTCCTTAGAAGGCTGATCGTTACCTATAATGACATTGACTCTGTTAAACAGTAAGTAAAAATGAAAATAAATATCTTTGAAAATGGGACTGCTGAGTAAATTTACTTGTTTTTTGCTCATACCTGAAAGAGCCTGAGAAAACTGACATATAACATGACTGGGACAGAAACATTTGGAGGCTAAATTCAGCAGGATAGGTAGATGTGAATAGAATTCGCAATCTTAGTTTTATAAGAACCATACCCAAAACAGCCTGAAATGGAAGAACAACACACAAATGCAAGGTTGGGTAAAACTACAGGGAGTGCAACTTTGCAGTTAGGACATCTAGGTGTCTCCTATGTCTTTGAGAGTTCGAAGAGACCTCAGATATCACGTGCCATGGCGACCCTCATCTAACATGTAAATAAATCCTCCTCTCTGGCTGGCTGAGACAGTATCTTTTGGCACACGGCACAGAAGTGAGGGATGAGTTTAACCTGACAATGAAATGAAAAGGTCACTGAAATGACACCCCCCTCCTCTGTTCCATATACAGGATTATACCCAGTACTAGTTTCCCCGCAGTCTAGCCCTTT